AGAAGGTATGGCCTACTCTGTAGAGCCTCTCCAGATCCATATAGAACGCTTCCAACTTCGTTTCTTCGTAGCTTGATGTTGGTGAGTAGGCAACGAAGATGGTTAGAGCTGGTTTGGTCACTCCACATCTTCTTAATCGCAAACGTCCGATTCGGGTTGTTAAGCTTTCGTACGAATCGATGTTCATGGCCAAACGCGTATTGACCAGGACACCTACGCCGCCGAAGCATTTGGTGTCGCATTTTCCTGGAAATAGTTCTTCTCCCGTCTCAAGTACAGCGTGCAGCGGGCGATGCCCTTTCGTCTCGGTCAGCCCGAAGACTTCGTACTTGATCTTCCTAGCTTGCACCATCATTACTTCTATACACGCTTCCGATGCAAGCGTCCGTGCGTTGAAAGCCAGACCGACATTTTAGTCCTTCTTCGTATAAGCAGCCTTTTCTGGCCCTAAAATTCTAGCAGTCTCTGCCAAACAGTATTGGACCCCAACGCTGCCGTATCAGCCCCTCCCCCCAGCTTCAGGGGAATTAGGCCCATTTTTATTACTGTTTTTGGCGAGTGAATACCCAACGTGTAGCTTGCCAGGCTCTGATGTGAGGGCTGGGTTGACTACGTGGACTTGCCAGGCTATCCCTAAGTGAACCAGGGGTTTTGTTTCTGGAGGCGGCCCCGAATCGCACCAAGACACTTCCCAATCACTCGAATGCAAGCTTTTGGCTAGTCCTCTATCCTCTATCCGCCACCTGAGGACAGGATACCAACTGCACCAGCATACTTTCCACACATGTATGCGTGGATACGCCTGGGATAAAAGAATTTGCATCGACCAGCACAGCAGAATCAAGGAGTCTATTCCCTGTATCCACCTGCGACTCTGGGCAAGTACTGGTAACGATTGGTCGTTGACTAATTCCCCTATCCGCCACCTGAGGACGCCCTACGTAGCCTCGCCGCTAATCGGCTGGGATTCTTCACTAAGAGAAAACCTTCAGTGAAAGGAGATCCATAGAAAGCTCAACATGCATTCTAGAAAAGGTGTTCACTTCACGGAGTCTGGAATCTCCTTACAACAGGATTTCGCTGAATTACCTCCGAACCTTGAGGTGTCGTAGGATCAGATCGGTCCCGTCAGGTTGTCGGAAGATGACTAACTACTTCACCCTACAATATTAGATTGAATGTCTAATTTTTGATCCAGTCTATATGAAAACCAGTCGGGCCGCCCGGCTAACGCCGGGCTTCCCTCCTTCTTATGGGTTCGCCCGGCTACGCCGGGCGCTCCTTCTTCCTGCGAGAAATTTGCTATGCGTAAATAACACTTCGGATTTTCCTTTTGCTTTGAAAGCTTCACACCCTCAGTATAAGTTCTGAATTGGGAGCGATTTTTTCTGTAAACCAACCTCGCTGTGTCCGGAAGAACATCGTTTAATATCACAAAGGTGATTATTCAGGGAAAAAAGTATTCAGAGACTTCATCGCGGCTGAGGCTACTATGTTAGCTACCATCAATTTTCCTCAACGCCATCATCAAGGGCTTTCCTTCTTCTTGGGGCAAACGGACTTTGCCCGAAAAATATCGAATTAATGAAATTCCCCCTTTTTAATATGTTATTTCGCTTTTTCGCTGAGCA